ATCGAGCAATAATTGCTCACCGTCATTAGACAATAATTGGATAGCAGATGGCTAATGAATGTTGATAACAATGGACTATACTTTGAGTATTAATTGTATTTTATATCAAAGCAATATTAATAGAAATATTTGATTGAAAAAAAGGTCATTTTTTTTATACACCCTATTATGTATACCTTCACGGTAAAAGTGGTTCTTAGATTTAAAATTGGTACGCACTAATCAACTTTAAATAGAAGAATAAAGTCCGCATGTGAATAACAAAAAAAAAAAAAAAAAAAAAAAAAACTGATGGCCTAAACCTGGGATAGATGGAAATTATTCCAATCCCTTCAGTATTGATTTGTAATGTACATACAAAACAACTATTATATCGCGAAACATGGTTAGTTGGAGTCAGAAGGGCTCGTGTATTACATTGAAAGCTCGGATTCTATTTTTCAATGTTCGAAATAACATCCTTTTCTAAATATTTTTTATAGGAATAAATTATGCAAGGATATATTTGAAAAAATATATATATGAATGAAGTATATAAAATATATGAATAAAGTAATTGATGCATTTCATGGAAACAAAACTACCTATATTGAAATTTAACTATTGACTCGTACCTAAAGTTATAATGAACGGCGGATTTTAACTTATTCAGTGAACACATGATGTTAGTCATCATTTCATATTTTTTCCTAATGAACACCCACTTGATATATTAGCTTATACTACTATATGGCATATATCCGTGATTAATTACTGCTATATTTAATATGCTTTACTATATTACAAATAAATGTAAATATAACAAATGAAGCCAGATTAGTTATACACTACGCGGAGATTATAACAACATTAAACATTGCACCAATTTGGAAATACTTTTCCTAGAATTACAAAACTGAAAAATGCTTTTCGGAACTATTATATATGGCATATTGAATATCTTAAAAGTACCATGATAATGTTTGAAAAAAAAAAATGGTTTTTGTTAATTACACATACTTATATTGGAGTACATGGAATCATCGTTGGATAGTCTTTTTGATGTATTTTTCTCTGATACTGAGTTATATGTACCGTCTATCTTAGCCCCCTTGTCTTCATATCGTGCTATATTGACTTGCCAGTTTCTGTATGCAGCTCTAAATTGGTTCTTCTCCTTCAATCGTTAATGCGCGGAACTATGATAGCTCCGGTTATCTAACGAAAGGATTTCCTATCTTCCTCTAAAATATATCAATACTCTTTTTAGTCGTATCGGTACATCAGAACTGTCATTATTAAAGAATTCAACAGCCTTAATTCGAGATCTCTAAATATTTTTGGGGATATCCAAGAAAGATTAAAAGAAAAAGGTATATATTGTACATAAACGAACTATACCTAACATATATCCTACTTAGGTATACAACATAAAGAATAACTTCATCAAACCTAAAGGTGTATTATTCCATATTAAATATTATTTGCATTCACTCTCATTTTTTTTTTTTTTTTTTTAACTTGATTCTTCAACTCACACCTGTCAGAAGTTCCGACAATCAGCGAGTGTAATGTCAAGATGTAGAGATTGGTCTTGGAATAGGCGTAAGGGAGAGGATTACCCAGCGGCGTCCTTCCTGTCTTGACCGTAATGTTAAGTTTGAAAAGAAGTCCCTGATGCCAGACTCTATCGAACGCTTGAGCAATATCCAGAAATACTCCTGTTGCATATAATTTGTGCTCTAGTGCTGTCGCAATGTAGTCTGTCACTCGGTGTAGCTGATGAATGGTTGAGTGGTTTGAACGAAATCCAAACTGATGTTCAGGTATTATGTTTTCAGTAGTCAGTATATCAAGAAGTCGTTTGTAGAGAAGTTTCTCAAAGATTTTAGAGCATAATGGGAGCAAGCTGATGGGTCAAGCTGATTGGTCTGTATGATGAAGGTAAGTCAGTGTTTTTGTTAGGTTTGTGAATCATTTTTATGAATGAATATTTCCATTGTAAGAGGAATTTAGTCGTTCTGAGTATTGCGTTATAAATTGATGTTAGGTATACTAGAGCTTTCCTTGGCATTTTCTGGAGCACTTGAGCATTTATCAGGTCATGACCGGGAGCTTTCTTTTTAGGTAACTGTCTGATTTGTTCTGCAACTTGAGTGGGAGTGAAGCAAAGTGGAGGTAATGACAGTAGTAAAGGAATGTCTAAAGTCTTTTGTACATGTCTTTCGTGATCAGTATTAGAGAAGTCAGTATGTGGTATGAAAACAGAAGAAAGATAGTTGGCAAAGAGCTCAGATTTTTCAAGGTCTGACACAGCCTAGGAACCATCTACTTTTCGGAGTGGTGCTGAAACCTCACGATGCTTTACAATTTTCTTGGTCTGTCTCCATAAGCTTCCATCGTCAGTCGAAAGATTTTTGAGGTAATTGTCGTAGATCGTTCTTTTAAAATTCTGAATCTGTCGTTTATAAGTTCATTGTTAAGTCTATTGAAAGTCCGTTTGTCAGATGGAAGTCGACCAGTCTGTCACACTTTGCGCGCTCTTTTCTTTGCTCTGATCAGGTCTCTAATGTACTGCGGATAGATTGGAAGAGACTTATTTCTGCTGGGTTTTGGTACAGATGATGACCATACAGCCTGTTGTAAGCTGATTGTGAACTTATCAACAGCTTTTTCGAGTTCCTCTTCAGTCTTAAGGGACATTGGGATTGATAGCGTCGAATTTAAGTAGTTGCTGTAAGCTTTCCAATCGATTATTCTATCTGTAAGTGTTGGTTTTTTTGATACAGTACGAGGCTCATCGCATAGTACCAAACTGAGAAGAGAATGATCAGAACAAAGATCAGAGCTTGCAGTTACAGTGTATGGCACTGTCCTGAGTCCTTTAGTAATGAAAAAGTCAAGTAAATCTGGTGTTTTCTGTCTTGAAGTTGGCCAGTAAGTAGGTGTATCAGGTGAGATCGTGTTTAATGAAAGCTGATCGATGGCAGACTTTAGATTTCTTCCTCTAGGAGTACAGAGTCGTGCTCCCCAGGACTGATGTTTGGCATTATAATCACCACCTGCAATAAAACACCGACCAAGATGTTGGAAGAAATTGTAAAACATTGCAGATGCTAGCACGTATCTCGGAGGGAAGTACACTGCAGCGAAGGTAATGGTATTGTGCTGGGTATACAGAGTAATTGCTGTGGATTGTATGTCAGGTGTAATGGGTAATTGTAAAGGGTTGTGTTTTAGTGATTGCTTAATCAGTATTGCCGTACCGCCATGTGCCGTCTTATCAGGGTGGTCAGTTCTGTATATTTTGTAACCTGGAATGTAAAATTTAGAATGTGGAGTCAAGTGTGTTTCAGTGATGAGAGCAATGTCAGTCCGTTTTTCATGTAGGTACATGTCAAGTTCGGTCCTGTGTTGGTTTATACCATTTGCGTTCCAAAGAAGAACGGACATGGAGCCCACTGTCAGCCGATTAGTAGCCATAACTGGAGGATAAGGCTTGTGCAACGTGAGACAGTTCATGGAGAAGGCTGAAAAGGGGCTGGATGAGGTTATTCAATCCACTTACCAAGTTGAAGAGCTGAGCTGAAGCCGGGTGATTGTAAGTCGGTGGTGGGGGCTGAGTAATGCCCTTTTTCATTTCTGGATGCTTTGGCTGGGGAAGGTGATTTTCTGGGACTTCTGTATGAGAAGTTCTCAGTTTTGGTCCTAGATATTGGGAATCGGGTTTTGAAGAGCATGAATTTGCGATTTGCTGACTTTGTGGAAGAGATGGAAACTCTTCTATACCTGGGGGTGCGCTAGTTTGTGCTTTTTGGGGACTTTGTATATTTTTACGGAGATTCCGTACTTCCCTCAGTTGTTTCAGAGTTGCACAACCTCTATAATTTGCTGGATGGGATCCGCTACAATTCGCGCATGTTGCTGCGGTCTCTCTTGTCTTTTGGCAGAGAGTACTATCATGTCCTTGGCCACATCTTACGCACTTCGGGGAGTGATTGCAGTAAGCCTTCGTGTCGCCATACTGCTGATAACGGGTGCACTTTGGAATCATTCTTTTCTTTCTAGGTTCTTCGATTTTTACTCTAGTATAGTATAAAAATTTAATATCAAAATTTTTTTCATTAAATGTGGCTTTAGAGATGTCGATAAAGAACATGGGAAGTGGATTTTTATATCTGGAAATAACGTTCACAATACTTGTGGCATCGTAACCTAGGCATTTTAATTCGTATTTTATGGTTTCAATTGTAGTAGCATGGTGTAAGTTTTTTAATACAATTCTTGGATTTCTATCTTCTATTAACTGATAGGTATGGAAATCGGCACCTACCTGTCTTAAGTTAGCTACTATACGTCTATATATGTCAAAGTTTTCAGGATATACGGTTACTCCTCTTGATGTGGATTTTAGGTTAAAGCTGTTCAAACCTCGTGCATTTTGGAGAAATGTGACCAGTTCGGTGTAGTTCTGTACATCATTCAGGTGGATAGGAGGCGGTTTTACAAAAACCGGTTGCTTAGTGGTAGCATCAGACTCGTCACTAATGGTAGTTAAAACTTCAAAACTATTTGTGGTTATTGTTGTAACTTCGCTTACCTTTTTAGCTATTCTTGGATCTCTGTTATTGTCCATTGAGCGATTTGTTCCTGTAACGAGTTCCCAATTATTTTCAGTAGTTTGGTTTGAGTTTAGAGCGTCCACATTTTCTGTAGAACCTCCAGATATCGAAGTCTCAGACATCGTTTGCGGTGAAACCGCTACACCGAGGTGTGGAGTTCCAATTTCTTGGAGCTAATAGGTTTCAACAACAGAATGCAACAAAAAGAAAAGTTTTCACTGTTACTTTACTCTAAGAATTTGTCAAAAAGATTTTCAAAGAAAAATTAACCTCACTTTTATCAATGTTCACACATGTGTTAATGAAAAGCAACCAATTCACTCTCATTAAGTAAATAATATGTAATATTTTTAGTAATTAAATTATAGTAGAACAATAATTTTAGACATCTTTACTTACATCTCCTCTTTCTGAGTCTATTTTATACAACCTCAGGGCTGGATTGTTTGCCCCGCTTGGTGTAAGTTTTGGGGTAAGCGATGGAGCCAAAAAAAGAGTCGAAACTGGTTCACCTGAAATAAAAGCCTTTTCTGGTATATTTGTAACTAAATTATTAATAATATAATAGTAATTATAACCTGATTTTATATAATTTCATATTATTAAACCTATATATTTGATATTGGCCTCCGCTTATTTGATTCTATAAACCGTTCTTGGCATATGTTAATTGTATTGCAATGGTCCGACGTATCTCTCTCTTTTATATTTTTATAGTATTATCTATTGATTGATGAGTACGCTGTGTTAATTAGCAACTCAACATAGTTGAGCTATCTTGCAATGTTGATGTTACTTAATAGAATACACTTGCCTAATTCTAAATCATAATATTTATATAAGCCATTATTTTATTTTTAATACATTAAAAATGAAAATCCCATTTCCAGACAAAATTTTCTGCGTGAATGTTCTATGAATTCATTGTAATATCAGATTTAAAAAAAAAAAAATGTTGCTTACATTGCTGGTTTATTATTTTCAATAATGGACCATTGTGATCGAACAAAAAAATTGAAAACAACCCCCTCTCAAAATCTGAGGTTTTACGTTTCAGGATACCAGGAATTCGAAAAACGAATTATGATTTTTTTATCCGTCCGCGCATTTTCTCCGAAACTACTGGACCGATTTTTTTAAAAGTTGGATTTAACACTTGAGGTCACCCGAAGATGATTCTCCTTTCTCGACATTTCTATCCGCTTTTTCCTTTCAAGATGCCGACCAAAAACCTGCGTTGCTATTGACTGTAGCGCTTAAACGATTTCAATGAAACTTTGCTGAAGTCTTCTTCTCGATGCCCTATAAATGTGTCTATATTCCATACTTCAATGAAAAAAACGCTGGAAAAAAATTTACGATGGATGGTAAAATTAGGTTCCAAATAACTCAAAAGTATACACTTTTTTTGTCGATATTGTAATAAGATGTTTCAAAAGTATTTTAAAATGTTATGGTATTTTAAAAGTTTATGGAATTTCCTTAAAAAACAAAAAACAAATTGGTCTCTAGATGTTTTTTATATATTATACTGCAAAATAATGTTATTTTGTTTAGCATATTACTAATGATTAAAAAAAAATGTTTAGTACAATAATTTTAATCACCTTTTATTATTTTTTCTTTGTTACTAGGAAAGTAATGTTACTTTAGATGTATAATTAATTGTTTGGAAATAATAAACCATTGTGAAATAATTTGCAGCGTATTTTACTCTGGATTGGAGTGAGGTAGCTCAGTGGTAGGGTACTGGGCTCCCAATGCCCCCAAAGGTCCCAGGTTCGAATCCCGCCTCATAGCAGAATATTTATTTATTCTGTTTCATTGACCATGGGGCGACCCTGTGTAGGTAGATCCTCCTGGGGCACCCCCAGCCTCTATACAGTGGGTACCCTTTTATAATAATTAATCCTTAATTATAATAATTAATTAAATTACAATAAATAAGTAACTCCTTAATCATAATAATTAATCAAGAGGAAAAACCTGGCGGTTGAGCGTGATCTCGTTCAAATCACCACCTTGCACAACCGTAGACCAAGAAACAGTGCTTTCCCTCAATAGTACTGAGCCCAAGACCCTTCATGGGTTGTAGTGGTACAGGTATTTTTTTTTACTCTGGATAGCTAAAAATAAATTTAAATCTATAAAACTTTAATTTGGATTTAAAAAAATAATAAATCCATTGATTTTAAAATATAATATTGTTATAATAATTATTATACGGATAATAAACCCAATCCTCTCTCCGATGATCTTCGTCTATTAAATGTTTATTAATATTGAGAAGTATATATTGGAGTACTGGCACTGGCCAGATTCTTCACTCATGTCCTGAGCGTCTGTTGCTCTAGTGCCTTCCATCAGCCTCCACTGGCTTACTATACCAGTGACGCGCCTTGGAGAGAAGCACTGGGATCTCCTGGAGTCCTGCTTTGGCTTCCACAGTTGGGGGACAAAGCTTGGTTCGGAGTTCCCTGGGCCAATGTAAATATTGTACATAGGTGTGAATGTGTTTTTTTTTTGTTTCATTATTTTTCGGCTGATCTTTTGTTTTAATTATCTTGTATATTACTTTTTATTTACACACATATATATATATATTTTTTTTTTTTTCCTTTCTTATGTACATATTGTGTGAATGAATACAATAGCGCTAGTAACAATGACCTTCAGTGTGGCAGACTGTATTAATACTCAATAGAAGTTCAAAAAAAAAAAAATATATCGAGAAAAATATTACCACAAATAAATTTGTCAAAAATGTAGATTAGTTAAACAGATTCTAAAAATTGTTTCGCAAATGACAGTTTAGAAAGCTTACAATCTCTTTTCAGTTAGAAAGTAGAGCATGTATTGTGTATTAGGCTTCAACAACTGTGTCTGAATATTTTCCATTATTAAGTAATACATGAGTTCTTCCTAATCTACTGTTTTTTTATTGCAAAATTAAAATATAAAAGAATGAATTCACCAAAACTTTACTTGCAGATGCATACTTTTCAGTAGTAGATCAATTGAGTGAATGATATTTCTTTTTTTTTTTTTTTTTTTTAATTATAAGTCTGGTTACAAAGAAAGAATAAAAATATGATAAATCTAATTTACTTTATCGAAAAAAACATTATCTTCTTTTGAACAACGTTTTCCGGTTTCATTCTGTATCTTGTATTGCATTCATTCCACTTAAAATAAAAAAAGTAAACAGACGATGGAAACCTTGTAATAACGTTTCCCGCACCTTTTCGAAATCAATACTAACAGACCTTAGCCCATGTTAAGATTGAGTGTTATAGCGGCGAATTTCAACACACCAATCTTGAATTTATGGATTTCAATAAATTTAAGAGGTTTACAGTTATTATCCTTTCTACCGTTGTAATCCTCTGTTCGTTATCTCAATACTCGTTCCCGGTCTTCTGATCTATACATAAGGGCCCACAGATCCGCTGCTTTCGACAGATCTTTCATTATCTGATCCGCATCCCTATGGAACTCCATCCCCTCTAACATTCGTCAATCCAATACCATTCCTACCATTAAATCCCGCCTGTTCAATCATTTCTTATCCACCCAGTGCCCATGAAATTGTAAATAGATACTAATGTAAATATGTACATAAATTATTAGTTCGTTCTTCATTGTTTTTAATTCATATTTTTTTTATTATTAACTGATTAAAATTAGAATGTAACTTAATTAGTCTGTATTTTTATTTATGTATCTCTCCTTATTTATGTAGGCTCCTTAGTTCGTTAGCCTTAAAGTAAATTAGATTTATCATATTTTTATCCCTTCTTTCGATCCAAACTTATAATTTAAACCAAAAAAAAAAAAATATATATATATATATCATTTACTAAATTGATCTACTACTGAAAAGTATGTAGCTTCAAATAAAATTTTGGTAAATTCATTATATAATATTTTACTTTTGCAATAAAAAAAATTATGTAGAACTGATGTATTACTTAATAATGTAAAATATTCAGACATATTTGTTGAAGCCTAATACACAACAATACATGCTCCACTTTCTAACTGAAAAGAGATTGTAAGCTTTTTAACATGTCATAAAGGCATTTGCGAAACTATTTTTAGGATTTGTTTAACTAATCTACATTTTAGACAAATTTATTTGAAGTCATATTTTTCTCGATATTAATAAACATTTATCATAAGATCACCGGAGAGAGAAGAGGATTCCTTATCCGTATAATAATTATTATAACAATATTATGTCCAAAAATTAATGGATTTATTAATTTTTAAATCTAAATTAAAGTTTTATAGATTTAAATTTATTTTTAGCAATCCAGTGTAAAAAACGCTGCAAATTATTTCACAATGGTTCATTATTTCCAAACAATTATACATCTAAAGTAACATTACCTTCCTTGTAACAAAGAAAAAATAATAAAAGGTGATTCCAATTATTGTCTTTCTGTTATACTAAAGGGACTCGTCCTAGAATAAATAATGTATCATTATTATCTCTTTATTTTTCACATATACAATGGTGTTTAAATTATGTAATAGTTGGGGACCTATTAGGTCAGCCAAAAATTACATTTGTATATTTTCTTAATTATTTTATATTTGTGAACTTCCTGATAATATTTGCTGTTCCCAACAACACCGCTTGTTGCATTCTTTCGATCGTCTGAGATGGTAGTTCTAGTAGTCGCAGAGAAGATACAGTTTCTTCCGGTATCAGTCCGTTGCACGAGATTACAATTGGCAGAATTCGGGTTTCCTTCAAATGATATAATTGTTTGATCTCTTCAGCCAATTCTACGTACTTGCTCTTTTTTTCCGCTACTACCTTGTGTATGTTATCATCAGAAGGAACTCCAATCTCTATGATAAACGCAGATTGCTTACTTTTATCTATTATAAGAATGTCTGGTCTATTGTGGGGGATGGTGTGATCCGTCTGGATTGGTTGATCCCAGAACACCTTGACATTGCGCATGGAGTTAATTGGTTCTGGATGGTATTTATAATACGGGTAATACTTATCGACGAGTTCCATTTTCTGAGCCATAGCTTGATGCACTACCTTAGCTGCATTGTTGTGTCTCTGCAAATATTCCTTACCCGCAAGTATTGTGCATCCCGATGTTACATGTTGAATTGATTCAACTGCCTTTTTGCATAAGCGACATAAGTCATCGATGCCCTCTCCACATATATGTTTTCTGTATGCTTTTGTGGCTATTACCTGTTCTTGAATAGCAAACAAGAATCCTTCTGTTTCCGGAAAGATACTTCCACTCTTCAGCCATGTCAATGAAGCCTCAGCGTCCACTCCTACATCCATTAATGAGTGATAAAATCGTCCGTGTAAAGGTTTATTTTTCCATATTTCTGATCGAGTGCCATCATCTGCTTCACTAATCGGGATTCCAGGGCTTCGTAAATTCAAAGCTTTATAATTTATATCTAATGATGCGATAGTTGAAAGAATATTGGAAGTATGGTTTATAATGTAGTTGCGGAGATTATTTTCTTCCTTTCGGCATAAATTCAAGAGGCTGACTAGACCACGCCCTCCCGACTTCCTAGGAAGATACAATCTCACTACAGATGACTTTGGATGCCTCTTCCTTGAAAGCACAATCTGTACTCTAAGAAAACGATCCAACCTTTCTAAATCGGTTTTAGTCCACTTCAGTACCCCAAATGAGTATTGCCCAGGTATTCAATGCCCGTATCAAATTTCTTCCACTTAAATGTGATTTAAGTACTAATTTAACACGGTATTTAAATTCTTCCTCAAAGTTTTTCTTTGAATTAGCATTATTATTATTATTATTATTATTATTATTAATTAGCCTTGGTTGCATGAAAACCCCTGTTATGTTATGACCAATGAGAGATAGGGATAGGCGTACTTACCGGAGGCCCCGTAGACTATCCTGAAGGTATCTGAGTGGAGATGGCCGAAGAACTGCCCTGTTATTATCCGGGCGTGCTTGGAGATGAGGCTGATGTAGCGGGAGTTGTGGGGCTCAGCTAGGGACAGCCTTGCGGGGGCTCCTTGCCTTTCGTCGTAGCCCGGGGCGATGTGCCCCATTAGGTAGATCTGCAACAAAAAATGGAGTACCTTTATGAAAAGTTGTAAAAAATCAGATCAAGGTGATACTATAACGTACTGTTTTTATTTATGCTTATGTCCATTAGCAGTTTCTTGCTAGATGGGATTTACTGACAAAGTCTATGTTATTTGAGGTTTTAATTTCCATAGTGAACCCAAATCATCATTGACAATTTTTCAGAGAAATCGAAAAAACTATATCTTTTAATCCAACTGTAATATTAAAACCCATATATTTTAAATATTAAATTTAAAAGTTCTTTATTTGCAGCTAATATTTCCAAAAATCTATGTTTATTACAATAGTGATTAAAAACCACGGCTAAAGCTTAATGACATTCCTTAAAAAAACATAAGGCTAGTTTCGGAAATATATTTATTTTCACACCACTTCTTAAAAATATTTATGTCTGTTTTTAAAAAAAAATAATTAAAAAATTGGATTCATTGTGTTTTATTCACATGGAAATCAATAATTATTTCGATTTCCACTAAATTCGATTAGTGCCGACTTTGTAAAGAGTTGACTCATTTATTAAATCCTCATTTACAGGATTCCAGTGGCTGGCTTCATCGGGAGACTTTAACTGGAACACCACAGTTGACTGGCTTTATACCATTAATGTATGTCAGTAGTATGGTTCAATCGGTAGTATGTGTGGAAGTTTAATATAACCTGTCACATATTTACATGAATTTTTTAAACATGATATTTGCATAATTTTTATCGTATATCACTGGGCTGTACTGGTAGTTAAAGAAAAAAAATGCAAATTTACTATTTTTTTAAAATTGAATTATTTATGCCTAATAAATGGAACAATCTAAACCTCTGAGTGATGAGTCTCTAACATGCAAGTGATCAGTTAACCTACCAACGTTTAGTCAATTCAGGTATCATCAAGGCAGAAAAAAACAAGACCATATATAAAAAAAATGAAAATAAGGAAAGAAAGAAAAGAAAACTAATATAATTACTAGAGACATCTCACCATGGAATCCAAATACGTACTGAACTGTATGGGAGGTAGCAGAAACGCAGTAGAGGAAGGTTATATTAAGCAGCTGATTAGATTGGAAGAGAAAAAAAAAATACGCACACAAAAAACTCAAAAACACAATATTATAAAAATATATTTATATTTATTTATAGTATTATTGCCTGTGTAGTAAGTCCACTGGGTTTTGTTAAATATAAATGTTATGTATGAGGCATTTTGTTTTCTAAGTATTTATTGATCTGTTATTTTTTTTAATTTAATCTATTTAACACATTGTAATATGATTATATTTTTGAGATTTTAGTATTTATTTGCGTATTTGTTTTTCTCCCATCCCTTCTAATCAGCTGTTTTATATAAACTTCCTGAACTGAGTTTTTGAAGTCTCTCGTTTCCTTCAGTATTCAGTATTTGGATAGCATGGTGAGATGTCTCGAATAAATTTATTTGTTATCTTTCCCCCCATTTCTTTTAAACTATGTGGGATCTTGTTTCGTTCTGTTCTGTATGTTACAAACTCTTGGCTTTGTGGTTTGAATTATTTCATTCATATCCCAAAAATTTTATGTTTATTATATATATATATATATATATATATATATATATATATATATATATATATATATATATATATATCTTCATTTAATGTTCAAATGTTCAAAAGCGATTTCTGAGGAAATAGAGGGAAAAATTAGAAGGGACAAAATCAGGATCACAACTGTAAGAAGCAATTGGGGAATAAAAACAGCAGAAAATACAATAGAGAAAAACAGACAATGCTGGTTTGGCCATGTCAAAAGAATGTAGAAGGAAAGAATGGCCAAAACTATATATGAAGTAAAAGTGAAAGGAAGAATGCCGACAGGAAGGCCCAGAAAGATTTGGGAAGATTCAGTCAGGGAGGATTTCGATCGGAGAGGAATAAACTAGAATAGACCCAGACAGTTGGGCCAAGAGCGATAAATCTGATAAATGTATCAGGCTCAATAAATTAGATCCTCTACACTGATCTAGTGAAGGGAAATTGATTATCAAGAAGAAGAATGTTTATTTATAGACTTATTAAAAGTTTTCAATTTTTTTTCTAAAATAGGTAAAGAACTCGAGTAAGTGGACACACTATTATATTTATTTTTGAAGTGTCTCAATAATGTTTTAATAAATCTATCAATATTCCTTATTAACATACTTCGTCGTCCCTTCACAACTTTCTTCTCAAGGTATAGCCGCATGCAATAGGTAACGTCGAGGTTGACAAGTTGCACTTGGATGAGTGACCTGCCGGATCGGGTACCATCCACTAGTGAAAACCTAGCTACCTGACATTCCTCCCCCGGGTATGAGAGACCCATCAGCCTACCGGACGCAACTCACAATGATCGGATCGATGACTCTCTACCTAAAATCGAGAATCGTAATTTGGTTTTTCAGGAACCATGGAAGTTTGGTCCATGGATGGTCTGTTTCAGGGAAAGAAATTCGCGTGCGCCTTCTGACTCTGAGCAGCCATAACCCATGGATCAAGTTCGATTTGCCAATATCCTTGAACCCGATTGAGTCAGTAGGAAGGAGATTAAAAAGGAACTAAAGAGATCGAGTATGAAGCTATGAGTGGCCTGCTGCTTCACCATGGAGACTATATTCTATAGCAACGTGAGGTTCAGTAACCCCCTCCTATCTGTGTTCCTGCAAGCAACATACATCAGTTTTCGCCCATTCAGGCATATTCAGAGAAACAGTGATTTTATTAAAAAAAAATTGTATTGTATATATCTGAAAAGAATAAAAAGTCTCAGAGGACTAACTGGCAGACACTAGATCGTTAATACGTTCAATTAAATCAGTAAAAACAATTAAATTGAAAAAAATATAAATATGAATGTATTTTGTGGACATTGGAGACGCCTTAAGCACTTACAATTAGTATTGAGATTACAAAAGAGAAGTTTGCAGAAATAAGGCTATAAAATTACTTTTAGTTGTTATATTTTTCAATGTAATGTATTAATTAAAAATCATCAATTATACTATGGTTGAAAACCATTTTTAAATTTAAACTCCACTTAGACAAACGTCTAACTTGGACGTTAACGTCTAAAATCCTCATACCAGACTGAAACGACAAGAAACAGCTCGACGTTTCCGACAACTTCAGCACTTACTAGACAAACGCTCTAAGCTCCCTGTAAATTACAAAAGACTCATATACATGACTACAATAAGACCTATTTGGACTTACGGAATTGAGCTCTGGGGCTCCACTAAGCCATCGAATTCCTCTCGTATCCAATCCTTACAATCCAAAATCCTTCGTAAAATCCTCACAGCTCCTTACTTCGTCACAAACAAAATCATCCATAACGACCTTAATGTTCCGTATGTTTCTGACCTGGCCCAATCCAGATACCTTTCCTTCCATAACAAACTTCACAACCATCCTAACCCTCTCGTTTCGAACCTTGCTTCCTTTTCGATCCCGGACAACCCTCCGAGGCGTCTGAAAAGAAGATGGCCTCGAGATCTCCTTTTGTAAATACATTTTTAGAGTGCTACCAGTGGGTAGTTTCTCAAAAAATGATTTCATGCTTTTATATTCTTTTGTTCACATTTACATTTACATTTAGTTGTAATTATCATCAATAAATAAAAAAAAAGTTTAAACTATGTACCGGTAAATCTTATTTTACACGCGGGTATATGAAGCCATCATTTACGAACTATACTTGTAATACAATCTCTTCTTCGTTGTCCTCTTTGACAAATATATTAATTTATTTATATCCGTAAGTTATGGTGAAAAAGTATATAAAATATAACGATCTGCTTAGGAACCCATAAAGGAATATAAATTACTCGGAAGCAAAGCGAGGCAGTTGAGGAAAGGCATAAACCAAAACATCCTACTGAGGGTTTTCCCAAAGCGGGTAACTAGCTGTCAAATTAGAACTTGGACCAAACCTAAAATATTTCTCCCTTCGGAGGACTAACCACCAGCCCCTTGTTATCAACCGCCAACGGAAATAATTTACGACCCCAACATATTATTTTTGAAGCACAAATAATAAAATAAGTGAATGAAGCAAATCACTGTTACACAGACACTATGAATAATATCAAAAAATGTTTCATTGATATTTTCTTGTAATTAATTATCACACCGAAACATTAAAAAAATATCTTTTTCTTTTTATATTTCTAAAATGTTAGATCCATTAGGCTGCCCTATAAATTCCTTCCTATGACTTTATTTGTTCTTTGCGGTTGATTCGCTACTTTATATATGGATGTTCTACTCTATTACCTTCTCTCATCTCTGAAGAAGAGTCTTATACCCTTTTTCCTGAGTTGTTGTGACTTACTTGCAAAATAATCATGTCCTCTTCATCACTGCTGGTACTACTCATTATTATGCAATTCAAGTATTTTTTGAAGAACGAAAAAAAAACAGAAAGTCCATCTATGGAAGACTAAAATGTACTAATTTAAAGTCTATAAGGTGCTTTACTCAATATTGACACCAGGATTTGAATCGATCACATCTCATCGACCCGTATGTGGTAGATGCGATTCAAATCGCTCTCGTTTATTGGCGATTCAAAACGCACGATTCTGTAACCGATTCTGTGGACGGCCTAAGAGTTTCTGTCTGGGCCGTAAGACAGAAACTGAAACGAACCATAGGTTGTCAATCTTAACAAACAATGTAGAGCTTAAATGTTTTAAAAAATTTTTTATTTAATTTTTTTTAGGCATGGGAACATTATAATGAAGAACAAATCCATAGGTTATACCTATAGGTCATTAAACTCTATCATATATATATATATATATATATATATATATATATATATATATATATATATATATATATATAATTTTAATTAAATTATAGTTGTTCCGCTATCCAATTGTATTAATATCCAATAACGCCAGGCAACATTTGCATTACAATCACACCTATAACAATAACTAGCGATTGGATAGGCA